CTGAGCATGAGGCAAACGAGCAAGCAACCTCTTGCCGAAGTTCCACCTTGTAACAACAATTTGCCGGGCCGCGCTGGTCACCGGACTGTATGGTAGGGGTATTACACCTGGACCTCAAGACCAACGGGCGAAGGAAAGCATGCCGGGCCCAGGTAAATACAATGAGGAGCACTGTATACAACTACAGAAATAACCTAAACCCATGCCAATCTGATCAACATACCTTTCCTGCGCAACCATGCCAGGCCCGTCGCACCGACTTTGAAGGTGGGGTGGCCATGCAAGGGGGTCCGGGGCCCTCCGCGGTAAAAATGTCAAAAATTGAAGCCAATTGCAAGCAATTCCGGGCATTTCGTGCCATTTCAGTGTAACTACAATGAAAGACTCTTTTATTCTGTAACAAACCCCGGGGATCGGGGACGGGGATAGGGGATCGGGGATAAGGATTCTTCATTATTTGCCACGTTTGCGCTGAGCTGCGATCATCGCGCTTTGTTGCAGTGTGCTAAAAAACAAGAACAAAAAAAAACAGCCAAAAAGGTGGGGCGGCCTCAGCTGTGCCGGCCTTGCATGCCTGGTGTACGGGTCTGAAAGATGAAAGATCTAGCTCTTGTATACACGGGCCCGGAAAGCCTGCTTCGGCTGCTCGGCAGCAGCTTCGTAGTGGTGGTCAAGGGTCGAAGACCGACGGATACGGATCAACTCCCCAGTGATCACACCTTTGCCCATACTACAGGGGTGGTTACTACCGGCAAGCAGATACAGGAAATGATTGGTGACCTTGAAATGAGGCTTCACTGCCATGTATCCCTTACTACGGAAAACTGCGGTGTCCAGGAAATCAATGCCATCATGTGCCAGTTCATGCGCAAACTCGAGGGCCGAACACTTATTAATCCTGTCTAAAGCGCGCTGAACTTGACCTTCGCAACCATGCAATGAAACAAAAATGTCACTGATAAAGCGTCTATAAACCTGAACCTCTAAACCCTCCCCCTCTAAGATCGGAAAAATGTACCGATTCTCCAAATACAGCATAACAATGTCGGCATAGACCCCTGCTGCAGGCAAACCCATGGCAGTCCCTTGGATCTGCGGAAACAAATCGTTATCATACACAAACTCGTTAGTCTTCCGAATGACTGACATCAAGGAAGTCACTGCTGTTGTTAACCGTGTACGAAGGGCCGGGGGCATCCACCTTGTACACCTGTGTGTGATATACCACGACAATGCCACGTGACCGAGCTCGTTGGGGATGTTGGTGTAAAGGCTGGTCACATCTATACTCAAAAATAAATGATCGTCCCGCACAGGCAAACCTTCTACCAAGTTGATGAAATCCGTAGTTCAGGCCAGAACAGTACTTTCCTCACGTACATACGGGTTCAGTAGAAAGTCAATGAACTTAGCAGGATAGTAGCCCGGACTATTCAGACTAACAATATGCCTAACCTTCAGGGCACAGGGCTTATGTGTTTTGAGAAGTCTCCTGGAAACGGGCATGCGCCCCGGTGCGACTAAGAACAGTGACATATATTAGTGGTCATACGATGCTCAATGCGATGCCTAGTCATGGTGAGTAAGCAATTGACTCGGGTCGCGCACACGAAGTCTCAAGGCAGCCTTGAGCCTGTTGGTTGCCATCCGCGGTCTAGCCACATGTTCATCTAGCCCCTCAGGCAAAAAACCCAGTCATTTATAATGTTGGTGTGATATCTGAGCAAGCGTTGTACAAACGCGTCATAAGTTGTTATCTTATTACTTACGTTGCCTGCATGCATATGCGCATGCCCGTTGTTTTGTTGTCTTGTCTTGCTCCTAACGAGTGATATACAAGTCTTGAGTTTCTCCCTATCTGACAAGTGTGTCTTGGTCTTGTGTAGTGCCTGGGTTGCATGTAACAATTTGGCGACGAAGACAACGTCCTGCGCGATGGAGGGAGATCGTGACCGTCTTCCACCATTCGACACGTCCGGACCCCATCTCAAGTGGCTCTGAGGTGGACAAAATGGGTTCGAGCCTTTGACTATTATCTGACGGGAAAGGACATTACGAACAAGAAGCGTTCAAAAGCACTGCTCTTGCACTTCGCGGGTCTTGAAGTTCAGGATTTATTCGAGGACCTATCCGACCCAGATGACAGCCTTCCACCAGATCAGAGAACACAGAATGACAATGAGGTTCTCAAGTGCAAGCGTACCTTGCAAGCTCATTTCGGTGCTCCTGCAAACCCTACGTATGAGAGGCACGTCTTCCGTCAACTCACTCGCCGGCAGGGAGAGTCCACAGTGCAGTACTGCACCAAGCTTCGGCAGCAAGCTCGGCTTTGTTCTTTCGAGAATGAAGGACAAACTGCGGAAGCTATACGTGACCAGATCGTAGCCACAGTCGACAGCAGTGAGCTGAAGAAGAAGCTCCTGTCAGAACCAGCCCTGACTCTGCCACGAGCGTTGGAAATGTGCAGAATTTGGGAGGACGCCCAGTCCCAGTCGGAAGGAATGTCCTCAACCACTTCTACTTCGTCTGGTACCGGTTATACCGGGAGTACTAGTAGTAGTATGCTTGTCAATGCCGTGCACCACCGAGACCAGAGTCACAGGCAAGCTGGACGGGGTGGATTTGTGCAGTCATCGCGTGGCCAGTCACGTAAATGCGGTGGATGTGGAGACCAGTGGCACGAGAAGCGCGAGTCATGCCCAGCTTGGGGCAAGTCGTGCCGGAAGTGTAGGAAGCCAAACCACTTCGCCAAAGTTTGCCGTTCACAGCAGTCCAGCACTGGTGGCAGTGTACACATGGTTGGCCAGTCTCAAGAAGTACATGGAACGTCGCCAGTCGACCCTGCTCCTGCTCCAAGTCATAGTGCAAGTGCTGGTACTGGTGCGAGTGTTGCATCCGGTCCTACAACTGCAAGTCCGTACAGCAGCGGCCTGGACGAGTACTATTCGTTGTACCGCACGCAGAGTGACAAGGACCGCGTGGACCCGTACTGTTGTACCCTCCAGTTATGTAAACAGCCAGTCGTGTTTGAAATCGACACGGGTGCAGCCGTGACGGTGATGTCTGAAAACGAATTTCATCGGCTGGCATCCAAGGTCAATTTGTCGCTTGACACAAGTGATCTGCCGAAGCTGCGTACTTACTCCGGCGGAATTCTGAATGTCGTCGGTCGCTTTAGTGCTTCTGCGACCCATGCTTCTCGTAAATCAGCAGAATTGTCGATCGTCGTTGTCCAAGGAAACGGACCAAATCTCCTGGGTCGAGACGCGTTGCAACTGCTGAGGTTGAATTGGAACTTCGTGTTCAACGTGTCACGCGAGCACTCGATATTGTCAGAGTTCCCGCAGCTCTTCCAACGTAGCATGGGCACCTGGCAACATGGAAAAGTCAAATTGTCCGTGGCAGACAGCGCCAGACCCCGGTTCCTGAAGGCACGCTCTGTTCCTTATGCGTTACAAGCAGCAGTGGAAAAAGAGCTGAGTCGACTGGAGGAAGCTGACATCATTAGTCCTGTCCAGTATTCGGAGTGGGCAGCTCCAATCGTACCCGTTCTCAAGCGGAACGGGAGCATACGAATCTGTGGCGATTATAAATGTACTATCAACCAGTCGGCAAGAGTAGACAAGTACCCCTTGCCCAACATCGACGACTTGTATCAGAAGTTAGCGCAAGGCGCATTCTTCTCCAAGCTTGACCTGAAACATGCTTATCAACAACTGTTGCTCGACGACGAGTCTAAGCTGCTGACGACAATCAACACCTCCAAAGGATTGTTCGTCTACAACCGCCTACCCTTTGGCGTGTCGGCGGCCCCGGCAATATTTCAGCGCACGATGGAACAATTGTTAGCAGGTCTGTCCTTTGTCGTAGTGTATCTCGACGACATTGTTGTTTCTGGAAAGACTCGTGCGGAGCATGATGAGAATCTGAGGCTGGTCCTGGATCGTCTAGCGTCCGCGGGTCTCAGGTTGAATCGTGAGAAGTGTCTCGTGGCTCAGCAGTCTATTGAGTTCCTGGGCCATGTTATTGATTCAGTCGGCATTAGGCCGTCGGCTGAGAAAGTGGATGACCTTGTGAAGGCCCCACAGCCCAAGAATGTCCCTGAACTGAGAAGCTTTCTGGGACTCATAAACTATTACCACAAGTTCATCGAGAATCTAAGCTCAGTGTTAGCTCCATTGTATGAATTGTTATCATCAAAGTCGTGGTGTTGGTCTGATAGTCACCAGAAAGGGTTCGATACAGGCAAGTCTCTGCTGTTTTCTGAGCCGATACGTATTCATTATGATCCTAGTTCACCTATTGTCGTGTCCTGTGACGCTTCCCCGTATGGTGTTGGCGCAGTTCTGTCGCATGTTCTGCCAGATGGGTCTGATCGGCCAGTAGCCTTTGCATCTAGAACGCTGTCGTCTTGTGAGAAGAATTACTCGCAGCTTGCCCGTGAGGCTTTGGCAATGGTATTTGGCGTCTCCAAGTTCCACAAGTACATCTTCGGTCGCAACTTTACACTACAAACAGATCATAAGCCACTGCTGGGATTGTTTGATCCTGATAGACCCATTCCTGTTCAGTCTAGTGGTCGTATTCAGCGATGGGCACTCAAACTAGCCAATTATGAATTTGTTCTGGAGTACAAGCCTGGGAAACAGAGCGGTTGCGCTGATGGGTTGAGTCGCCTCCCCAATCCGGCGCTGGTACCGGAACCGCCGCAGCCAGCCGAGGCTGTACTATCGCTATCCGTCTTGAACACTACACCGGTTACATCTGCATCGGTTGCTCGCTGGACGAGCAAAGATCCGTCCCTGGCATAAGTATACAAGTTCGTGTCTGAGGGCTGGCCCCAAGACATTCCAGAGGGATTAGAGCCATATTCCCGTCGTCGTAGTGAGCTGTCTGTCTTGAATAACTGCATCCTAATTGGTTCCAGGGTAGTTATTCCTTCACCGGGTCGTGCACCATTGCTGGACGAGTTGCACGCCGGTCATCCCGGTATCGCTAGAATGAAAGCCCTGGCACGCAGCTATGTCTGGTGGCCGTCTCTCGATGCAGAAATCGAACAGACCGTCCGTGGTTGCACGCAGTGCCAGACCGTCACCAAGTCGCCGCATCGCCAGCAAGTCCACCCATGGGAATGGCCTGGTAAGCCTTGGTTACGTGTCCATGTCGACTTTGCTGGACCCATCGCTGGTAAGATGCTCTTCATTATTGTCGATAGTAATAGTAAATTTATTGAAGCACATGTTTGCTCTGGCTCATCTGCTGCTGTCGCAATTCGCAAGCTGGAGCAGACCTTTGCTCTGCTTGGCTTACCTTATAATATTGTTTCTGACAATGGCCCTGCTTTTGCAAGTAGTGAATTTCGTGAGTTTTGCTCATCTAATGGCATACGTCATACTCTCGTTTCACCATATCATCCGTCTAGTAATGGCTTAGCCGAGCGCGCAGTACAGACGGTGAAGTCTGGCTTGGCCAAGATGTCTGGCCCTGATTTGGAAACCCGCCTTGCTAGGTTCCTGTTCCAATACAGAATGACGCCGCAGTCAACAACGGGTCGTTCTCCGTTTGAGCTACTTTGGAAGGAACATCGTCCCCGCTCACGTCTGGATCTCGTGGTCCCGGACAGCGGCAAGAAAGTCTTGGACAAACAGTGCACTGCCCATGATCGTGGTGGTGCAAATGCATACCAGTTCTATTGTGGTGATGCCGTCTGGGCAATGAATTGCAACTCCTCACCGAAGTGGATAGCTGGCATCGTGGATGAACAGCTTGGTCCTCTAACATTCACGGTTCGTCTTGTTGATAACAGAGTCTGGAAGTGTCACTCTGACCACCTGAAGAAACGCCTTCCTGCTGAGTCGGTGCAAGATGCTTCAACTGCTACGTCAGCACCACAGCTTCCATATTCCAGAGCTTTACCTTCTACCACAGCTCTACCGTCTTCAACTGCTCTATCTAGTGTTCCGCCGAATGAGTCTATGTCACTGCCTGGCTCAATTGTACATGATGAGATCCGTGAGAATGCTGATTTATCTGTTCCTGAATCTACTTCTAACCAGTCTAGTGGTTCTAGTCCTGTCGTGTCTATGCGCAGTTCTTCTCGTTCTGTAAAGGCTCCTGTCCGCCTTGATCTGTAGTTCGTCTTATCAGATTATTTGCTGCCACGACACAGTCTATGTATTTCTGTTATTCTGGTCGTTTCCATCTGATGGTGGAGGGATGTGATATCTGAGCAAGCGTTGTACAAACGCGTCATAAGTTGTTATCTTATTACTTACGTTGCCTGCATGCATATGCGCATGCCCGTTGTTTTGTTGTCTTGTCTTGCTCTGAACGAGTGATATACAAGTCTTGAGTTTTTCCCTATCTGACAAGTGTGTCTTGGTCTTGTGTAGTGCCTGGGTTGCATGTAACAGTTGGGCATTGTGATATTGGGCACGACCTATATCATCATAGTGAGATCAGTCCCGGACTACTATCACACTAGACTCGTCTGCCATTGAATATATGCCCGAGTTTGATCGCGTTCTACATGTAGCTCCCATACTATATGCTGCATGTGTACACTCCGCCTATGGTTAGTCTACTCCAGAACAACGCCTGGAGAGGTTCATTGGGGACATGATGTCCCCCACCCCATCCCCCCCCCCCCCCCCACCACCTGAAGTACCGGTATTGCCCCTCCCCCCCCCCCCCAAATAAAGTACAGGACACAGATGGAGCACTCGGGAGCACGTAGCAGTAGGCAAAGTTGACGATGCCAGTGCAGACACGCCTGACCTCGGTCACCACACTGGTACGGTCGTATGGTCTCCAAGGGACATAGCTACCAGAGAACACACAAAATGGGAGTATATAGTGCTATCTCGGAGGATAGACAACCTCCTATACAAAAATACCTACTGATAGAGTTTTATGTAGACCCTATGTGCACATATGTGTGGATGAGTACTAGTAAACGGACAGCTAACCCTAGTCTAAGTAAAATAAATGTAGAATGTAGACCCTGGGCAAAAGAAATAAGTAAATAAAAATAATAGCAACACATGAGGGAACTCGGATGGAGAGCCAAGGATTAAAATTAAAAAAGAGGACCATATCAAAGTTTATGAGTTATCCGTTTTGTCCAACACTAACGGGCATAAACGTGAAGCAGCTAAGCATCAGGTCGTTGAATGTCAGGATCTCAGTCAGTTTTTGTGCTAATTGTTGCACATTTTTGACTCGACAGTATTCTGCTTGTAACCGCTAGTGTTGGACAAAACGGATAACTTGTAAACATGAGGGAACACTCATCCTTACCCAAGTCCCAAAGCCAGCACTCGGCGGTGCTCCGAACCAAGAGGAACATTAGAGAGATCGTCCATCAGCTCCTCTCTCGTCCTGCGATCAAATCGCCGAATGCTAAAACACAAGAAGATAGGAGAGGCAAATAGAATAAATAAATCAATAAAATAATAAACAACAATACAAGTTTGAACAGCTGTAAACGTAATGGACAATCCGAACAGGACCAATGATATACCCAGAAATTATAGAAGGCACTAGGAAACATCCATACCTGCTCAAACTGATTTGGACAACATAGAAGAGGGTAAAAGAGGGCGCTACTCAAGTGTTCCTGGGATAGCTATGGTCTTTGCTATGCTATTTATTTGCAGTCTGATTCATCTGAAAAACGAAGTTTCAACTTTCAAGCATTTAATTTACAGTCCTACCCTCGTTAGTATGACATCGGTTGCAAGACAAACCTCATTAGTAGACAACGATCCAAAATCCCATGAATCATTAGCAGTCGTACATGTAAGTCCGGATAAGAGATAATTCGTTTGTGGACCAAATTCGTTATAACGTCCCCTTCAGCTGTCCCACAGGTTTGAATTCTCATTACAAGAAAAAGCGGATGGCCGAGGATAGCTCGATTGATGTTTCATGTTGTCTTGTATCGGGGACCGATGAAAGATTGTCTGATAATGGGTTGTCTTGTACAGGGGTCTGGTGGAAAACACTGTCTAATAACAAGGAAACATCAGTTCTGAGGTGGACACAATATGGATGATGCAAAGCAGCAGAAAAATGTACTCGTTATCGGACAACAAAAGTTGATACCCCCAGGGTTGTCTCCTAACAAGGGTAGACCTACGAAATAGTGGTTGCGACTTCGGCGATGATTGTTAGGAAAGGGTTTGCTCCCCACACTGGAGCTCACGCTATTCCGCCGCCTTGACTTTACACTTGACTGACAGACAGCTGCCACCCAGAGCACACGAGAAGTCCATCCAACCTTCCACTCGGAAAACCTGCAAGAAGGGACCACTCCCTGCTCAATACACAGTGTTTCGGGAAAATTAACCCTCAACAGTCGAGTTTGAGTAGGCTGAGGAAGAGTGTGCCTGAAGAGCACCATTTATATAGTGCTCTCCAGGTCCAAACATCACCAGGGATACAAACTTACAGAGACGCTCCGTTTGAAGCGCGACAAACACCTCGTGAGCACCAGATAGCAATGCGAGTCAGTGTCGCTCCTGGACGGTGAGAGCTGTATATTGACAGAGAGAGAGAGAGAGAGCGGGGGAGAGAGAAAGAGAGAGAGAGAAAGTGAGTGAGAGAGGGAGAGAGAGAGAGAGGAGAGAGAGAGAGAGAGAGAGAGAGAGAGAGAGAGAGAGAGAGAGAGAGAGAGAGAGAGAGAGAGAGAGAGAGAGACACACACACACACACACACGCAAACACACAGAGACAGACAGGCAGACAGAAGGAGAGAAGACAGAGATCCGGGATGTGACATCATCATGACATCGGCCGTTGCTGTGTATGTTGGATCCAAGGTAACGAAAAGACGGCACATGGGCAATCTCCATTGTTCGAATTGCGAGTGGCTCTAGATTGTCGTTAGAGGTGTTGGGGCCAGAAACCATGAACTTGGTTTGGGTGGGGGTGGGGGCACACGCACGCACGCACACACACACACACACACACACACCACACACACACACCACACACACACACACATACACACACACCTTCCTTCCTTCCTTCTTCCACTGTCATGACTGGCTATGTGGCCCCATACGGGGCAGACCAGGAGACGTGTTGTCCACCGGGCGGGGAACGCCATACTCAGCGCACGCGGGCCGCACGAACAGCGTTACACTTGTGCCTCGCAATATCCTGTGGCCGACGAAAACTGCGTGCACAAGTGCCACAGATGAGGGGCTTCGCCACAGGCTCCATGCGGGACTGGACAATAGCGTCGACAGCGTCACGGCAGGTGACCCGCCATCCCTGTCGATCTTGGACGATGTCACCAAGCTGCTCCAAAGGAACGCCAACACACAAACACACACACACACAGACACACACACATACACATACTGTGTACCATTTATATGCCCGTCACAAGAAAAGCACGCAAAGTTGTGGAAGTCAGGTCTCGCTGGACCAACCAGAATGGAGCTGCTACGGGCCTGAGCACGCAGCTTTCCCCATGTTGCAGAAGGCAATGCAGTGCTGCAAGTGGCAGGCAATCCTGCGTGAAAAATTGGCACATACACCTCCATATTATCAAATTCCAACGAGAGAGCTCAGTTGAAAGCTCAGGGCCCTCACTATGCTTTTTTGCCTAGGTTATCATGCATTATGCGATAGCAATAAACAACAGTTTTATTCGGCTGAAATAAAGGATACCAATAGGCCCCACTTGTACTTGGCTGAAATAAATTGTTCATCGTTGTTATTGCATTTAGTTTTTCATTTCGAACTTGCACGAATAAAGAGCGCTTGGGCTTGAAGGCTACAGAGGGCTTGACCGCCCAGGAGCACTCGCTATGCTTAATAATTGCCTAGGTCATCATGTGTGTTATTCGAACTGATAGAAACGTCTTTGCAATACAAAAACATGTGCATGACAATCAAAACTTTAATTCATAAACGCACATTGATCCATAACTCAAAACTCAATCTCTCAGACAGGTACATTCTACCAAGTAAAAGTAAATATAATAATAGATTACGCTATGGTACTAGCTTATTTCATTTTTTCAAGCCCTGTTTCAACATGTGGCCAGCAGTCTTTGCCAGAATGGTACGGAACATCAACGGAATAGAGCCAGGCTGGTGCGTAACATGATGATGGCCCTACCGACCGCACACCGAACAAGTTCGAGCATGAGAGCATGTATTTTCTCCTGCTGAATGGATGCCTGTGCAGCGGTCTCTAGCTGTCGGCGCGTCTTGTCACGAAGGCGGTGAGTCTCCAAACGACGGGATATTTGCTCCGTCGTTTCTTGCTGTTGGCATCGCCTTTCGCAAGCACGGCGACTCTCGAGGCGGCGGGACCTCTCTTCTCCCTTCTTCTACTCTCTGTGTAGGCACTCCTGCCGACGCCGTCTACTCAGAGCTTTAACACTGTCACCCCTGTCATTTTACTCTTCTTCACAGTCCTCTTCTAATGATCTCAGCATTCTATTTATACAACAACTACGCCCATTAAAACACTGCAATCTACCTGATCCTTACATTCCCAGCCCATTAGTACCACACCCCTAATCTTTCGACCGATAGTACGACACTTCTATGGTCTTTTGAAATCAAACCGCGACCATTACAATAGTGCGATCTAAACCATAATGAGCGTTAGCATGCTAACGCAAGTTAGCAGGCAGCCCAGCGAGCTGGCCCGACCTGCACGCATGCGCGAGTCATGTGGTCATGCGCCCTCCAAGATCCTGTACAATGTCTCTTGCATGTCATTGCTGTTTTCGACTTTCGAGCATGCAACTTGCGGAACATGCGTTCCCAAACAATTTCCTCCACAATTGTGCTCGCCCCGGTTTATCTTGCTAAGCTCAATGTTAAAAGTGCATTCTGCCGAATTCCCGTCCGCCCGGAGGATTGGTCCTTGTTGATCCGCTGGCAGGATCAATACTTTTATGAGAGTGCCCTGCCCTTCAGACTGTATTACGCTCCTGTCCAGCTATATGGAACTCTGCCGCATCCGCCAGTGAATGGATTATGTGCTAGCAGTTCGCACTCCTACGCCTGTTGCATAACGGGGAATACCTCAACTAATGTTACTTCCTCAGTGCATGCTCTGGACTTGTGTTAGCTTGCCAGCAATTCGCTATTCTGCTCCGAGCGT